GCAGCCCACAGCTACTGGGGCAGAGCTGAAGGGGGCAGGGGCCCGGCAGCCCCCCCAGTTAAACAGGGGGGTGCGCCTTTAGCTCCTTCCAAAGATGACAGCCCCGTGGCCCTGGAAGAAATCCCTGAGCCCACCATTGCCAGCCCGAGGGCTTGAGCAGAGGCCAGGGAGGGACCCCCCCCTCCCCAGCCCAGGGCTTGGCTGAGAGCAGCCGGGAAGCCCAGGGGCAGCCTGTTTGCTTTCAGCCCACCGCACAAGGCTGCCCTTGGGGGCACCGTGGGGCTCCGGCGGGTCTCGGGGAGCTTCACACTCCTCCTCCCGTGGGCACTTCTCCTGCCCACTGTCCCAGTGGGGAAGGGGCGTTGCAGAGCAAGGCCCAGGGGAGCAGCCAGACCCGTCCTCAAGGGCGGCTGCTGCCTGCTGAAGGGCTGTGGACCGGGAGGGATTTTCCTGCCCGGATCCCTGAGGATTTGGGCAAGACAGGCTGGGGGGGTCAAACCCTCTCCCCAGCACACAGGCAGCTGCCCCTCTGACTGGGCCTGTCCCCAGCGGCCGCAGGCCGGGAGCTGACCCGTGCTGGCACCGGCGGTGGAGGAGGGAGGAGGCAACTCCCAGGCAAGCAGAAATTTATTTGGCTTTTAAAGCGCACCTTGAATCGGGCTCAGCGTTGCCCTGGGTGAGCAAAAGAAGTGCAAAGCAACAGTCTAGACCCTCTAGCAACTGCAGTGATGATTTGGGGTACGACAAGTATGAAAGCTCCTTCTGAGAGTGACCAGGCCCTGCATCCTTAATGAAACCAGTTGCTGCTGCTGCTGCTGCTACTCCCCCGGCCTTGGGGTCTGCGTAGGGATTTCTCTCACATCCCACTCCTCTCCCTGCTGCAGGTTTTCCAGCAGTTTCTTGGGGCTTTTTCCCCTCAGGTCTCAAGTATCTTCTCACAGAGGCGCTACCACCAGCGCTGATGGGCTCAGCCTTGGCCAGCAGTGGGGCTGACTTGGAGCTGGGGAAGCTTCTAGCAGCTTCTCACAGGAGCCACCCCTGTAGCCCCTCACCTGCCGCCAAAAAAAACAACGCCCAAACTGCATTTCCCCTAGCACTCTGCTATTAAGAAAAGCTACTGCAAAAATTAGAGCTTTCTTTGAATAGTTTATATTTAATAGATTAAACATCTAAAAAAGCAAACGTGATGAATTTATAAAACTTTTCTTCTTCTCTCAGCATAAATTGGGAGGGAAGTTGAAATTGGCAGAATCCAGAAGGGACTCCTATCTACTTGCTAACTACTTATCACACTACCTACCGTCTCCCCTAAAGAGAAAAAGGAAGGAGACACAGACAAACGGGGAGGGAATTGCACTTAGCCTATCGAGTCCCAACCCAACAGGAATCTTGTGTCTTGGATGGGACTTAACAGGTGCTCTCCTTTAGCCCTGAAGGAACATATGTCCAGGCCATGGAAAAAAAATAAAAAAGGAAATTCACATTTTTTCATTTATGAGTAGAAAAATAAGTAGTGTTATATTTGTTTTTTTGAGGAAACTCTTGCACTAGACGCTGCTGATGTGACCATTAAAGATATACCAAACAGTCCTTGTGTGGTATTTTTTTCTCCACCCGGTGTTTCCCCCCTGGTCAGTCATCTGAGGAGGAAGCTGGTCAAAGGCACTGTAGATGTCTCTGTCTCTGGAACGTTTTGTCCCTTGGGAGTGCCAGGAGCATGGGGGGAGCATCCTCCTGCAGTCTGGGGGGGCTCTGAAGGGTGTCTGGCCTCTTAGATGAGAGATGCCAGACTGCTCCAGTCACTCCCATCTGCTGGCAAAGAGGCATCACTGAGGTCAAACAACTGCTCAATGTTGACAGAGTTGGAGAGGTCATCTTCTGTCTCTTCAGACCAGGGATGCTGTAAGAGGGAAGTGGCCATAAAAGCTTCACCAAAGTCCAGATTGTTCTGGTTGGGTTCAGTGAGAACCTGCTCCTGGTCCTGGGCACAATCCCCGTGCTGCCCGTCTGCTGTCAAGTCCAGGTTGACTGTTGTGGGGTTGTCTGGAGGTGTGAGCTCCATATCCTCAAAAAGGGAGAATTCACCATTCAGGTTGGTGTCAAAGATGGCTTCCCAGTCAAAGTTCCCTTTCAGTGATCCCAGCTCAGGCTGCTCATCCTGGCTCAGCAAGGCAGAGTTGGAAAGCCGAGGCACCTTAGCCACTTGCTGGAGCGAGGGCTGCTTGCGCTTGTGCCCTGCTGGATTGGAGTTCAGTACGATGCTGACTCCTTCTAACTCTTTCAGCAGCTGCTGCGAATCCATGTTGATGTTGAGGATGTTCTTGGAGGTGGGAGCCAAAGCAGCTGGGCTGGCGACGCACTGATCTTCTGGCTGGGCTCTTTCGGCAAAGGCCGGATTGAGCTGCACGGGGGTCATTCGCCGCTTTTTGGAGGCACCATTCTTGAGCCGGTCAGCGTATTGGGGGTCCAGCTTCCAAAAGCCACCTTTCCCTGGCTCGCCCTTCTCCCGAGGTACCTTGATGAAGCACTTGTTTAAGGACAGGTTGTGCCGGATGGAATTCTAGACCCAAAAGAGAAAAAAAAAACCAAGGCTGAATGCTTGTCTGCTGCTGCAGCCACTACCTGTGTGCAGAGGCTGGTGGAAAAGGCCATTTTCAGCAAGGACCTTTGGGAAAAAGAAAGCAGAAACAGCAATGTCAAGCCATCCTGGACTGCATGCCCAGCAGACAGTCCCCTGCCCCGAGTCACTGACAGAGTTTTCTTACCTCTTGTCTGCTCCAGCCAGAGGTGGCAGGAGCCAAGGGGGTCGAGCGAGGACTTGCCAACCAAGAGGAACTTTGGGGCCACTGTTCTTGGCTGTATCTTTTGACCGTGGGGCCTTGGATCATGGCGAGCACTGGCAGGACCCAGACAGACTTGCTCCAGGCGTGGAGCTAAGCTGGAGGAGGGCAGGTCCTCCTCCATGGCTAAGGAAGGGTCTTTACCCTGCTGTGGCCAGGACCCCATTACAAGTGGCAACACATGGCAGTGCCATGGCAGGTGGCATCATCTGGGTCCTCCTTCAATCCCTCACTTCATCTGCACGCATTCCTAGTTTTGAGGGGAAATGGCCAATAAATAAGTACCATGCCTCCGGGCATACAGGCTGACAAAAGCCAGACAGGCAGAACTGGAGACACACGAGGGCTGTTTCACAGCCCCATATGTCCCCAGAGGTGCATCCTGGCCTGGGGAAGCTTGGTGTGAAATCACTGCATCTTCATCACCACTCAAATGAGTTGACGGGAAAAAAAAAAAAAAAAAAGACAAAAAAAAAGAAAAAGAGGACTTTCTGCTCCCGTTGAGCTGTTCTGACAACCTGAATATGCCTGGAGTGATGTGAATAATCAGAAAGGAAAGTCAGTTATTGGGTAAATAATCCAGTGTTGGACTCCACAAAGCCGAGACTGTATTAAGAGATTGGATATGGTAGAGGTTTTTTTTTTTAATGTTGCCTGGATATCTTTATGCTTATTCATCCATAATCAGTAGTGCCGAATAGGAAAAACAAGGCTTGAATCCTTAGAGCTGTTGAAAAACACACGCGCGCACATGAACACACACACACACACACAGATACACACACACAGACACAGACACACAGACACAGACACACACACACACACACACACACACACACTACAAAACCCTCCTCTAGGCTGAAGCTCCTTGGGTGTGTTGGCTCCTCTCCAAAGCACTCAGCTCCCACAGGAATATATCCATCTCCCCCTGGAGTATGGGTGGCATGACCTTTCCAGGCTGTCTTCACGTACGGGAATCAGGATAGGGGATGAGAACACAGCCTTGAAAAGACAGAAAGAAAAAAAAAAAAAAAAAGAGACAGATCAGAGGCTATAGAGGCTCCAAACCACAAAAATATAACAAGAACAAATAAAAAGCAGCATTGCCAATACAGAGATAAACATCTACACCGACCCCCACAGCCCCCCAGTGACACAGACCTTGCTCCCCAGTCCCAGGACACCATCCCCAGCTGTGTGGGGGACTTCAGATGCTGGCACACAGGAAAAGCAGCAGCCCCAGCCCCAGCTCTGCTGCTTGCATGAGCTGAAGATGTTGGTTCTCAGCCTGTCCCACGCTTTACT